GATGATGCGGTTTATTATTTTGCTTGGGGTAGATAGGAGCATGATTCCAAAGTATCAGTCTATTCAGCCAGTCGTCAATGAAGTAACCTCTATCTTAGACCTAAGTTCATGTAGTACGTTAGGACTCTAGACTAAAGGAAAAGCGTTCGTACGTATAAACCGCTAGTAGAAAGTTAACTACCCAAACTTGTATTGATTTTATTTGATACTGAGTATCCATTTTATTCACACTTCTCTCCTTGCATTCCCTCAGGAAGACAAAAAGAAAATTTACGCTCGTACAGCTGAATGTAAGAATTCAGCAATGCTCGCCTTATCTGGTATACATCTTATATGAGGAAGAAAGTGTTAGAACAGAACTCATCTATCAACCTTGTAACACTAAATAATCTGTCTTTTTAATATTAGCATCACTAAAATATAATTATCTTCGTTACCAATAGTATTGACATAAATTAAACTGTAAAGGGGTACATTGTGTTGCAATATCACCTGTTGAGAATTCTGAATTGGATCAAAAATGGTTTGGAATAAGGTGATAACTTTCATTATTCATATTGTTGCTGGATTCCTCTGCTAGCCTCCATCCATCATTACATGTATCTGAAACATAGGCACTATCGAGGCATCTGTGCAGGACCTCATATGAGAATAGGAACCGATCAATTCGATCCACTCAACGACGGGATAATACAAGCAACATTATTAAAACTACATTCATCGCATATGAAGCGGCTATCGTGACTCGGTAGGGGATAACGCCCTGACATTTGAAGCTATCGACCCCGAGTTCGGATTCTAATGGGAACAACATCGCTTACTCGGAGGCAGGTATATCCGGCTGATGAGTCCCAAATAGGACGAGACGTGTGTTAAGCTGAATTCTACTGCTGGCCAGTATCCATCATCAATATTATTATTACTATTGTCATTATTGTTATTATTATTATCATCATTATTATGAAATTCACACTTTCATATTTACTCTTTAATGAAATAAAAATAAACAAGGGAATTTCAATAAATACAAACAAATCCATTTTTCAATGTTACAGGAATGATAACGATTTAATTGTGAAATACAGTAGACAAAATCACAATTTCACCGAAAATTAGACATCAAAATAATTTAGAAAATGAAATATCCATAGGTTATGTGAATAATCAGTAGTGGTGGTGGTGGTGGTGGTGCTACATTTCAGACTTCATAATCTCTTATCGGATCAATTTTCAGCATGAAAACCGATCAACATTCTAGCCAAATGTTAATTCCATTATACAAATATTTTAAATTACATAAACGACAGAACATTCACTATTAGATTTGTTTATTTGATATAGCTAGCATGTAGTGTGACACAGTATTATTTGCGAGTGATGTTTCGAGCATAAATTATTATCGTTCATATCAGTGTAACCTTACTACCTTCGACATCCAATTTACTGCCTTATTTCCAACCTTGATGAGAATTCTACAGTTATCTAGACTTCAAGTCATCTCATCCAATGTTAGTAAAGGCAGGTTTAGTCAAATGTCTAAGTAACAGAGCTAGAAAATTCACTAGTCAGTGCAAACACCTAAACAAGGAATTGAAGCACATAAAAGAAGCGTTAATAATTATCCTCTACTGTTTATTCGATAATTCGTACCAATACACAAGAAACGAAATAATAACAGTAACATGAGTAGAAAAAAGTTGACAGCCTCCATTGTGTTACCATATAAGGAAGGTACATCAGAAACTCTACGCAGGATTCTCAACAAAGCTGGATTTAGGGTGGCAGTTAAACCTACAAAACTCACTCAGAGATAAGCTGCGTCGGTTGGCTTAAAAATCCAATAGATCTAATTAACCAAAAGTTCATGCAATGACTAAGAGGTCAAGTACACAGATCAAACTAACTACTCGGGGTCAGCTAGATTTTCGGAACATAAGAATTGAACCAGGTATGGAATGATAGACCCTAATAAGATCAATAATCTGAAAAAAAAAAACTGTTATTGCAATGCATACATGCATTCACACACAACCATAGAATAGAGTGGGATAAAACCACTATACTTACTTCCAATATAATTAGGTGGAGAGAGAGAGAGAGACTGATTACTAAATCGTTGTTCATCGAATCAACACTCACATAGTACATGTAATAGGAATGATGCAACACCTATACCAGAGATATGGAAAACTTTACTACCAGTAAAAGCAAGGAATATCATGTGATAGGACTACACAAATCAGGTGTCGAATGTAGTATGATTCCATTGATACGGTTATGAGCTATAATAATTTATGCTCGAAACGTCACCCGGAAATAATACTGTATCACTATGCGCGATATATCAAATAAACAAATCTTATATTGAACTACATTCTACCACGGTGACAAAGTTTTACACTTATATCAAAGTGAATTTCACATTGTTATCTGATGCGAACTTTATAAAACGTAGCTTGTATTGCATACATATTCCATAGAGTGGTTAATCTCTTTGATAATATAATGATTGTTACCCACTAGGTGGTAAATTCGGCTGAGAATCTCACATTTATCAATGAATCATATTTTTTAATAACAGAATCATCAATTTACATATTCGTTAACAACATTCTCGATTATAGAAAGCATCAGCATTCATTTCAGAACTTCACAAACGAAAATGTATAAAAGTACAACGGGAAAAAAAAGTGTAAAATGTTATTGTTTCATCATCATCATTATCAACATAGGACCAGGCATTACTGCGTAACCGTCCGAGTTGCCACACCTCATATCAGCACATCAAGTAAAAAGGTAGTGAGGTGAAGGATGAAGATAAGTGAATGCAGTCAAAAGAAATATAAAGTACGAAAAGAAAGGAAAGAGGAGTGACAAAATAGTGAGATTCGGTATAGCGTTGTTAAGATGAGGATAATGTGTGTATACATCTGCGCCACTGACTTCGGTTCTCAGCCATATCACCTAGGGTCTCCAACCACTGGTTCCTCTTGTCCCGTGGACCCCAACCACCTAGTCTGCATCGTCTTACATGGCTTAAACCAACAGTCAGAGACTTCATACATTGGTGCCATGTTTTAGTCTGGCCACCTCGGGCCTTTTTCCAGCCTGGACCCACCTCAGCCAACATTGTGTGACGAGGCAGTCGGTGACTAGGCATACGTAGTACGTGTCCCAACCATCTCAGTCGATGAATGAAAAGTATTTCATGTTTACATTTTTCATAAATACAGTTGTCGTGGGTAATAAACGCTTAATGTGAGTGATTCGCACAAGACTAAGGTAATTGTTTCGACTGTTCAAATCATCTTAATCGTCTTATATTGAAATGATGAAAAACATTTGTATCTCAGGTGAGGATGATGCTGGTTTGATGTTCACTAAAGCTATGTTTGATATTTTATCTCACTATAAACGTTCCATCACCAAACTTGATGATATTTTCAGCACTAACTTCATAAAGAAGTTAAGCATATTCGAATATTACACGAATGTTTAGACAGTGTGTTTTATTGACCTTGTAAAGTAGGAAAGAAAAATTTTCACTATATCCTGACCTCTTTGATCTGAAATTCCTTTCAATCACATCATCATATAATCTTTGTTGGAATCAAGTTGTGTTCTTGTCACATTGATTGTCATTTCTCTTGAATGCTATGCTCTTTGAAATTCTCTTACAGCTTATGAACCTGTTCTTTGGAGGATCTCCATACTCTCCCAGTAGAATTTGTGGTCCTGATTGCCTGCAGGTATTGATACTAAGGAGGCCACATTATATTGCTTTACTGCCGGTTGGTGTTCATGAATTCTTTGGGCAGTCCGACAGCTAAACTGATCAACATAATGCTGTGAACAATTTTTGCAATTGATTCTGTACATTATATTTGTCCTATCTTCTTCTAGCAATGGATCCTTTGGTTTTCAAAACATCCTGTGCAGTGATTTCGTTGATCTGTGTGCTACTCTGATTACGAAATAAGTAGGCAATCGGTTGACTGTTTCTCAGATATCTTGGATGTAGGGTAGTTTAACGCGTTTACCGATTTGAGGCAATCGTTCTGTCTCCTGTGCTACTTATACGCGGATAATCACTGACTGAAGACTTTGCTCAGGTATTTTTCTCCCGCTCTCCGTAGTGCTTCACTGCTGTAATACATTTACGCTCTTCAGAATAATTTTTGTACACAACATTTCTTATGGACTATAGGATGTTTGCTGATGTATTAATATAGGAGTAGAACTTGATCACTGTGGTAGGTTGTAATCCCATTTTAGTCCATTAATTAGAAATTCCACACAGTTAAACAGTATCACTTACCAGATAAAGACGTTTCGGACACAATTTATTGTCCATGTTCATGTCAGGTAACTCCAACAACAACTTTGAGACACAGTTCATATAGTCCTAATTTTCTCTCTTTCTTTATCATGACAAGCGAAGTAGAATTTATCATAGTAAACTTTTACGCCGCACCACATAGATATTTAATTAAGCCTACTTTAACTGAGAAGGGATGAGAGGATTTGAAGTCTAAGTAAGGATTTGAATGGGAAGGTTTCCTATAGAGGACACCAGTCTCTAAACTTCCATCTTGTTTTCGTCTAATCTCACGATCCAACATTACTAGTTCGCCTTCATCACTTTCTAAGTCACAGGTAATTTGGATTTTATTCACTACAGAATTTATATGTGCCAACAACCTATTGATGTGTTCTGATTTCAGTACTATAAATGCATCATCTACATATCGAAACCATATCTTTGGAGTAGGACCAAATGTTTGAAGGGCCATCCGTTCCCAACTATCAATAAATATGTCTGAGACGATAAGGGATATTAGTGATCCATTGACGAAGAATTCTCAATAAGACTTCTGGGATTCAAGCGGCATTCAAACAAACAAACTTGCTTAGAAATAAGCTTTGTAGGTTGAAAGATCCTATTGATGCAATTGAAGCAAAATAATCTGGTTTACCAAATCTCTTGCAATGATTGTGAGGTGAAATACAGAGCTCAAAGTAGTCGACTAGGGTTGATTAGAATGATAGTGCACGAAAACCGAGCTAAATTAAGATTAATAAATCGTAATAAGATAAGAAATCTGTAAAAAAAAAGTTCGGCTATGGCTGTGCATGCAATTATACACAACTACATAATAGGATGGAACAGTGCGAAAATATTCAAAGCTGATTTAGCTCAGTGGAAGGAAAGGTTGAAAATCGAATCCACATCAAATACATACAGTGCCAGGAATGATCGTGCGCCTATCTCAGATATATGGTAAATTCTACTTCTCTTGTCATGATAAAGAAAGAGAGAAAATTAGGACTATATGAACTCTGTCTCAAAGTTGTTGTTGGAGTTACCTGACATGAACATGGACAATAAATTGTGTCCGAAACGTCTTTATCTGGTAAGTGATACTGTTTAACTGTGTAGAATTTCTAATTAATGGACTAAAATGGGATTACAACCTACCACAGTGATCAAGTTCTATTCTTATATTTCGTAGTCATAAAATCCCAGTAAATTGAATAATGCAAGAAACTGGACATTTGAATTTAGTTATTCTTGGAGATTTAGGGATTTTTTAAGTTGATATTCATCATGGACTGAGATCAGTTGGAGGAACATTGGAAATCTGAGGGCAATGGACAGTTGTTTTGTCCTAGTATGGGACTCTTTAGCAGTTGGGAATGTGGAGAATTGGATTCCGACCAAGTGGATCAGTGGTAACGTGCTGACCACGGAACTGGAAAGTAACGGTTCGATCCCTAGCAGAGCCATGGGCGCGTACCGCTGAAGAGTCCTAAACTAGGACGACACGGCTGTGCAGTACTTCCAGATTCTCAACGTCAGTCAACGATGAATAGAAAGTTTTTGTTGAATTTATTTCTTCTTTTTAAAAATTGAATTCCTTCAAATGTTTGGTTGATTAGTTTGAAAGTGTTTTCTATGTCACCTTCTTTGAGAATTATGAATGTGTAGTTAGTGTACCGAATCAAAATTTTTGTCTTGATGAAAAGGATGACTATACATTATAGTTTCAGTAATCAATCCCATAGATGTTCCTTTTGTTTGTTTGTTTGTTTGTAAATGTTCCTACTGAACTGTAAATATATCATGAGATATAAATAGATCAACTCTATTCGGTTTTGAACCGTTAGCTTCGTATTATTGCAAAGAGTTTAGCTGTTCTTCAGATGAATATCCACTGTTCCCATGGCTAGATAAGAGTCGATTGAAGTGATGAGTAAAGTTACATCAAAGGTTATTGATGTTTCATCACTGCTTATCTTTAAAATCTTTTATTTTGTCAAGAAACTGAGTTGTTGAATTGACTGAGTGATCACTTCAATTGATGTAATATGAAGAAATGGTTTCAATAAATTTTTTATAAAATATCTTGAACAGTTATATTTAGTATCTGGTTAAAAAATAAACAAAAAATAAGCATATAAAAGAATTAAATACATAAACAAAACATATACAGTGGCAAAGAGTATTTGTTTAAGGCTATAGTAAATGGTATTTTTATAGAACAGAGCATAGAATGGCAGTCAACTCAACTGTACCTCAACTTCATCGATTTTCCAAAAGCCTTTGATAACGTCGGCCGATAAGTAATTTGCCAGCTGCTCCAACACTACGGTTTTAGTGCCACAAACCTTGACCAATCTCACTCAAAAGCTATATGAGGATGCTACATGCGAAGTGATTCACAATGGAAAGCTCAGTGACACTTTTGAAGTGAAGGCAGGAAGAAGTAAGACAAGGCTGCCGCCTACTATCACTGATCATCTTCCTGATTGTGGTTGACTGAATCATGCAGCAAATCGTTAGGAGCGAGAAGATGGGCATAGGATGGCGGGACCGATGAAAAGACCCTAGGACATTTGGATTTCGCCAACGATGATGATTTATGTCTAATATCTTATGTCACACAAACTCGAAGATCTACAGGCGAGAACTAACAAGTTGACAGAAGAGGTGAGGCAGCGAAGACGACACTTTCTTCGGGTGAATGTGAAGAAGACAGAGGTGATGAAGATACCCAACCAACAACAACGACAACAAACACCAATCACAATCGACGGGAGAAATGTAAAGGAAGTAGTCTGTCTGTTTCACCTACTGACCTAGACAGCATCGTTTCAACTACAGGGGGCGGCACAGATGGAGATATCAAAGCCAGGATCGGAAAAGCAAGAAAGACCTTGTTTGTTTGATGTGAAATCAGTGTGGAGATCTGCACTGCACTGCACTGCACTACACTGAGTATAAAAAGAAGATCCGGATTTTGCACACTAATGTCAGTGAAGTAAGTTCGTGCTTCTGTGTGATGGTTTAGAGATTTGTTGCTTTAAGGAAAGCATTTCTAACAAACGAGAGACATTGATAAATGGCTGTTGCCTACAGTCGCTCGATACTGAAGATGATATTAGAAGGCGAGAATGAATAAGCAAGAAGGAAGTCTCTGTGGCTGGCAACGAACCAACCAAAAACTCATCGCTCAATAAATATGCAGAAGAAGGAAGTGGAGATAGATTGGATTTGGCATACAGTGAGAAGGCCATTTGAGGACATCACGCTCCGGGTCAGATGAGGCCCTCGAGTGGAACCCGCATGAGATACGACGAGTAAGGCGTCCGAGGTTGACATGGAGGAGATGGTGTAAGGAAGAAATGAAGGCATGTGGGCAGTGGTGGAGGCAGATTGAAAAGACTTGAGAGAAGAGAGTGAAGCCCTCTGTTCCACCAGGAACCCAAGGGATAAATAATAATAATAATAATAAATGTGTTTTTACGTCTCTTTTAAATATACAGTTGAAGCTTGAAGCTATGAATTGATATAGCTTCAACTATGAATAAGTGTCGAATCCCCACTTCTTTCGAACGATTTGATTGAACTTTATAATGAAATTGGAATGAAGTTACCAGAGGAGCGAGTTGTCCAGATTCCACGAGATGTTCGATAATACGACTGGAGATCGCTTTCCGCTCTCATCTTTCAGTAACCAGGTTACGTAATATTTACGAGCACCTTTTTTAAACTATTACTGGGGGTAGAAAGTACAATAAATAGCAAAACCAGAAATGGTTTATAGACTTATTCCGAGTTTTATCATGATATTACTACTAGATTAGCAGTCACTCCACTTACCTTACAAATATTTTTACTTTTGCACACCGTAGAATCAACAGGAGTGCATACTCCTGGATGAGTGATATTAATTGTTCTTTCTGGTATCCCACCTACTTTCCACTGGCAGTTAGGATCTCCCAACTCTTGACCATTAGTAAATCCATCTCCATCACTGTCCAATGAACAAAGTAAATCCCATGACTTTTATGAAGTGAAAAACAAACACAAATAATTTGAAATTAAAAATATGAAAAGAATACATGAATTTATCATGAAATTGTCTACATTTTTTCATCATTAAAGAAAATCTGAAGGCCCTGGGTTCGACCGCTGGCGGGGTCAAGCGACCACTTCTGAGGAGTCCTGTACTAGGAAGAAACAGCTGTCTAGCGTTCCCAATGTTTCTCCAACTGATGTCAGGCCATTTTGAATGCCAACTTGAATTGAATAAATAAATCTCCACAAACCTCAAAATTGAAAAAAACCGTATTTATTATGAGTTTGACCCAGTCGATACACCATTCAGCCGGAAATCAAAGGAACGAACGAAAAGCATTCAACCACCTTGTGCACATGCATGTGGATGCATAATGGTATGAGTACAATTGTAAAGGTGGAAGACATGAGAAGGCTTCTAGTGTTTGACCACCACTGCCTTCGTAGTACAGGCCATTTTTCGTGATGTCATGACGTGAGTAATGCAGGAGAGGTAAGACGGTTGACGCGGTTGTGAACTTTCTCCGACTGAGATGGTTGGGAAATGTGTTATTTATGCCTAGCCACTCTCTGCCTCATCACACAATGTTGTTCGAAGTATGTTTAGGCAAGAAAAAGGTTCTGGGTGGTCAGACTAAAACATGGCACCAGTCCATGAAGTCCTTAACTGTTGGTTTGAGCCATGTAGGGCTATGCAGATTAACCACTTGCAGTCCGCGGTAAAAGAGAAACCAGTGGTTGGAGAATCTAGGTGAGAACTGGCTCAGAACCGATGTCAGTGGTGCAGATGCATCTACAAACTATCCTCACCATTTTCTCACTCCTCTCTCCTCTCTTTTACTACTTTCTACTTCCTCTGACTGATTTTTCTTTCCCTTGTCTTATTGCTTCATATACTGATATGAGGTGTGGCAACTTGGACCGTTAAGCAGTAATGCCTGATCCTTTGTTGATTGTACAACCATAAAAAAGAAATCGTTGCATAAATTCTTCGCTAACTTTTAATATTATTGAATACAATTTAATAATTCACCTTTTAGAAGTAATCACACTCTATGTTTTCCAATGACAAGAATATCAATCCGGCTTTAGCTATTGTTTTTTGCTTACGATAAAATCAATGTGACAATTCCCGGTATGACTATGGTAACCAGGTAACAAAGGGGAAAAAGTTAGAATTTTAACACTACAAGGAATTTGAATAAGCTCTCATAATCAAACAACCTACTGTGACACCAGGATAAGTAACAAGCACACATACTACAGTGTGTCAATTCCATCTGGGATGGTTGCTTTTATAAAGCATAGACAACTATAAATGTTCATTTGCATAATGATGTCTACTGAAGGTCCCACTCTAAAGCACACTACCCGACCTATAGTGCTTCACCCTTGCCATAGTGTCAACTGCTTCGTTAAGATGAGGGTCCGAGGGTGAAGTTAAACTTCTGATTGGATGGGGTGTGACGACAGTTCAGCGCTTTCCAAGGGTGACAGACAGTGCCATGCGAATGCTTCTTTATAGGAAAGGGGAATTAAAGAAGGTTAACCCCGCAGCACACAGCTGCCGGTAATACAGGTTCATAATCGGAGTCGAAACTAACAAATTTAAATCTCAAACTTCTAAAAAGGCTATGTGCGACACGTCTGAAAGAGATATCTCTTCGACTTTGCCGACACGTACTAACCCTTCTTTTTCACGTACCCCATTAAGAACTAGCCTTCCACCGTTTGGAGAGCTGGGAAGTGTCAACCGCTCTCACAACGTTGTCAGCACTCAAATTCCCCCAGAACACTGTCCACATTGCATATTCTTAACTTCTAATCTCCCTTCACGTCTGTCGGTCAACTGTTCTACATCACTAATTTGTTTCAGTTCTGCAGCTCTTGACAACCATATAAATTCATGGAACATCATCACAGGTGTCCCGAAACCGCGCGACAAAATACACACTAGAGCTTACGATGTCCATGTCCACCACCAAATCGACCAACAAGCTTCGCTAACCAAACCTCTGGCATCTTGCACCATACATATATGTTGTGTTTATGAGAGACGAATACAGGAGCAAGTGCAGTTATTCACTTAACTTCACCTGGCCAATAAGGTAAATCCGAAACATTCAACCTTCGAGTTTATGCCTGACAGTACCACATAGTGATTTAAGTCTTTATAACAGACAAAAAGGAAGAGGGTGTTAAGGTATTAAGATACAGCGAACAAATGATAAAACAAAGAGATGTAAGTAGTACGACTGGAATCGGCAAAACGTAACCTGGTATCCACAGCGCACATTCCAGTCAGCTAAGTCGGTTGAGGTTAACAACCTTGTCAAATGAATTAGCTCCTTTATATAAGAATCGACATTTAACCTCTAGATTGATGACATGATGATTTCACGACAAGGTGTCGAAGCTACGGTGACGGTGATCAACTAACAGAAGACTCCTAATGTCCACTAGCTTTGATCTGTCTAGTCTGATTGAGAAGAAACACAAATGAAGCAAATGAAATACTTGTTTTCACATTCGATATATTTGTTATGAATTAATAAAGAAAAATAAATTAAAATTACCAATAGTTTCAAAGTCTAGACAGAAGTAACAGCTTGTTAAGAACCTACGTGGTGTGATGTTCACAACGCTAAGCAGTTATGGACGAGGGAAAAAGTTAAACACTGTTAATCATGACTACAGAGGGGGTTTATTGGTGTATAAAGTAAACACTTACACCCGGGCTCGTTCTTCAACTGATAGTTATCAATTTTAAAGTCAGTAGGAACGAATACATGGTAGATAAACGGATGAAGTAAAGTTTTACCCGTTTTTGTTCAAAGTCTGAACCAAAGGGATTCAGAGGCCCACCACCTTCATAATTCGTATGCCCGATAGACGTAACAAGTTTATTTGGATCACAAGGATCGACCACATTCTCGCTGTTAGGAACCTTCAATTTATGCTCAGGAAGCGAATAAATATCACCAAAAAGTGATAACAAAATAAAGACGGTATCCAACATAACGAGCTTGTCACGATAGTTAAAAAACGTAGAGCACGAAATAAGGTAGATCATATCATTGCTAATTCATTCAATTAAAAACTTCACCTTTGAAAATCTGGTAAAGAAAAAACATAATGAATAATACATCTTTAGATGAAACGATATAATTCATAGCAATGTGGGTATCAAGTGATTTCTGCAGTGAAAAAGATAAAAACAGTAATTAAAGAGATAGAAGAAGCACTGTTAAGTCATACTTACAACGTATTTACACCAATTAAACTTAATGCCTATGAATATAGAGACATATTTCCTCTTAAACATCATAAGTACTTCGTAGCACTACTGACACATCGTGAAAATGTCAAGTGAAATCATATGCAAACTTCTTGAGCGATAAAAGTAATTCATTCAAATCTTGGAAGTTACACCAACTAGTGTAATTATAAAATGTCAGATACGTATACTGCATCACTTAACAACAAAATTCACACTAAGGCAATTTGAGGAGAAATCTCTGATCACACAGATACTACATTTTTGCAGATTTAAAGTATACTATTTCTTCATCACCTATCCCATGACAAACTCGAAAAAATCAACGTTCCCGAGAAAAAAGTGTCCATTTTATTAGGATTATTTAAACTTTCCATTACCATTATTATTAAGCAGTCCAAAAATTATAATAACCTTACTGGTACTGTCTACTATGATGGTTGGAGTCTCATCATTAACCTTGGTTCTATCAAGATGACAAAGGAGTACGATGTAGTTCGGAAAGTATGTTTAAATACAATTTCCTAGCTTCAGCCATACTTAGAATCTAATCCCACCTACGCTATGATAGAAAACCTGGAAAAATCTTCTCTCTGAAGGATAAAAGCTAAAAGACCGTGGCATCCTTGCCTAAATTGAAGGAAGAAGAACCTTCCAGGCTAACGAATAGGAAAAGAAAGTGGAGTTTGTAGCGGGATACTTTGCTGACATGTTGACCTAAGGACCTTCAGTTAACAAAACTTCAACAGAAGAAGCCTCGACGCCTATGGAACAGCTGCTGTGAACACTGATTTAAACGACTTATTCAAGAAAATAAGTACTCCGGGTATGCAAAAACAGATGAAACCAGATGAACTACACCTAAGGCTGCCTACACAGCTTTCACTTTAATTAGCTGATCGACTGGCTACTATAATCAGACTGCCCCTTATTTGAGACATTCCTCCTTATGCTTAGAAGGACGTCGCAGTCAAATTCACAAGACAGGCTCTAGGCAGTGCTCATGAAATCACAGGCCAACAAACCTGACCAGTACTGTAATTAAAATCCGACGAAGTAATTAAGAAATCTATTACAGCTAACGGAACACAACACACTACTAACGAGTTCATAGTATGGCTTTTGCTGAAGTTTTGCATGCTTGATAAACTTTCTGAACAGTAAGGTAAAGTTGAGTAGAGCTTAGTAATGACAAAAAGCCTGTAAACGTTAAGTTTCATTAGCTTCAGTTAAGCGTTTAACAAGGCAACTTACTTTAAGTTGCTCGTGAAGTTGAGGAGTTTCAAAACCAGTACAACAATCGTATGGATCTAAGACAAAGAGTTGATGCCCAACTTTCTCATTGAATGGTACTAAGCAGAGTACCGAGGACACGGTTTTAGATCTCTAGCTGCTTCTTCTCAACAATAATGAACTGCTGAGAATTACAAAATTCCCCATGATTCTCTGTGCTGACGATATAAATATCCGATGCGATTGACGGCCGACAATAATGTAAGCAACTTCAGAAAAACCTCAACAGTTTGTCTACCTGGTCACTGAAACTTTTGATGGCTATCAACGAAGGTACGTGGGTAGTCACGCGCACAAGTCATTTAGACAGCAGCACTCATGACGTTGGTGGGATTCTTTTACTCTCAGTACTGAGCTACAACTACCTAGGAGACAGTAAGCAATGACTTGAAACCACAGTGTAATGTCGATCAGTAGTAGCTCAGAGTTTCAGGATCGTTTTGGCGGTAAAATTCACTCAGATCAGTGGCGACATGTTTACCACCTTCAACTCAACCTCAGTCAGACCTAAACTGGAAACAACAGGTAAACCCTCCTTTAAAAAGTTACTCAGACCTTTTCGGAAGGTTCATGGGACGGCCACTCATATAAACAATGCAACAGCTAGCCTGACATATGAGGAACGACCTCAAAATTTGAACATACCCTCTTTCGCATCACGGACAAAGAAATGGCTTTAAACCTAATACGTGTTTTCCTTCTCACTAGTTTGGAACACCTCAGAAGAGACAGCAAAAAGGTACAAAAGTAAGGGACGAATACTACTACGGTGGAGTACTGGTTTTCACGTGATCAAACCTTGGAACCAAGTCCAGGAGAACTGGTGTCCGCACCACCGGCTGACTCGTCCAAGACGGCTAGAACAGAGGTCCGTCAGAAAAGGATTAACATGGTTTTTCGTAACGTTTTGATCTCAGATAAGCACTAGTTTTATGCTTGGTAACTATTTTGGAGTAAGTGTGTCATGATGCGCTGATTGAGATCAGGTTGTTCTCGGTTGTCAGAAAATAATCATCTTAGGTAGGTGACTGAACGTCAACAAAAGACTTAGATCACACTCAATGCTTTATCCCTCGAGCTAAAAGCCTGAGACATAAATTCAGTTGGGCACTGACCCTGTGGCGTGAACGATGATGAGTGACAAAATTTTGAAACACTTAAAACACATGATAATAGGTTTCAGTGTATTCTGTCAGTTATTACCTGAAATATTTTTCTGACTTTTTGGAGCTGCAGCTCAGAGGTTTAGGGAGATGACTATCGAATAGTGGGTGACGGGTTCGAACCCCACTCCACCTTCAGCCGTTCACAGCGAGTTATGACTTGAAAACCACGTCTCACTGTCGACTGGTAGCAGCTCGGAGTTTTAGGACTCTCTGGGTGTTACGTAGAACGTTTACGAAAATGAATGGTCACATGTTCACCATCTTATACACACCTTTAGTTAGGTCTAAATAAGAAAACTGTACACAGGCGGCTAATCCCTATCTGAAAGATGACGCAGACCTCCTAGAAATAGTTCAGAGGGCAGCCAAACGTATGATCCCTGAGATGGCTGGCCTCACCTATGAAGACCGACTTAAGGAGCTGAATCTCTTCACTTTGTCCTATCGCAGACAGAGCGGAGACCTAATCATGCTATACAGGATTCTAAGAAATGACTTCGGACCTGATTTATCTTCTTTTTCCCTTCCTACTAGGTAGGAACACCTCAGATGACATAGTAGGAGACTACAAAAGCAAAGAACGAACATAATCTCCACAGAGTACTGGTTCTCGAGTCGAGTAATCAACGCCTGGAACCGACTGCCAGAAAAAGTGGTGTCCGCATCATCAATTCACTCGTCCAAAAGGGGATTGGACAAGCACAGAAATCTACTGGAAAAGGACTAATATAGGCTCCCGGCCTCCCATCCTCAAACAACAAATCTGAATCTTCCTGCTGCCCACACTGACCGTAAAGAGAAAATAAAGACGAAACAAGACAAAACGACGAAGATTTCGTACAATGAGAAAAAATCCAGCGTGGGGGGGGGGAAATCGTTATATCTGACCATAAGAAGCTGAACATCCCATCCGGGAAAAAACTTGGGTGCAAAGCGAATTCGCTGTGATTCTGTGTGAAATATTCAGGGCATACTTGGAGCAGTGCAACAAAGTTTATAAAGCCCCAGAAATTTTTTGCGGGGATTTTTGCAGTTCTCTGAGCTAATTTAAAGCTTTTCCCAGACGTTTCTGTCCCACCTTTAGGTAGCCCTAAATTCCTTACTGAGCAGTCAGCATCCATGGTTAGTCACCCAAAAATCTACTTTTTTTAATTCATCACTCAAGTAGTCACGCATATAGTAGGTACTAATCACCAAATGAAATATGCAAACAACGTAAATTTTGCATTTTTTGAAAGAATATGCATACAAAAATATAGAGCTCTTGTAAGAGACCATAAAGAGCTGCAACTTCGAAGCACATGCAAACAATTTGCTAAGCCAAGCAATTAAGTCATCTGATGATAAACATAAGCACCTTAATAGCAGCTGATAAACTAGATTGCAATAACAAACATGAGCCAAGTAGCGCGCCAAACATATCCGGCACCTATTACCGAATTCAATACCATCCAATATCTGTTGCTTACCTGTGTAGACTCGTTGATTTCTTCGGTCTTGCGAAACAATTCCAGCGCCTTGTTACATTCCTATGCAATGGGTCTACCCACTTGCCTTCATCCAATATTAGTAACTCAGTCATAAAATGAATAGGTTTCGATCCCTCATATCTAGTTCTAAAAGCTTGAATCTTCCCTCTTGGTTCCTTCATCCAGACCCCAAGGAATCCTTTTCTGCTTCCTTTCTTTTAGCTCTGGCGATATCCAGTACCTAATATCTTTTCTGCGAACCTGTATAAACTAGTTCGATCCTCCATACTAGCTTCTAGATCTTGACTCCTGTTTCCAGGCTACTGATGGGTTCAGACGCAGTAGATCTACACATTAGCCGGCTGTAGCTCTGAAAAGGCTGGTGTTCGCTTGGCTTTTTGTTAGATATGTAGGTAGTTGTATGACTTATCTCAGGACAGTGCTGCAGACAGATTCCTCAAATGTCGTGTCACCAGGCAGTTGTTCAGACTGATCCCAAAACAAAGGTATGAAGAACAAAAGCATAATCACAGGGAACAAAAGATATGAAATGAGATGAATGTTTCGAGGTGGCCGTTAACAACTTGTTGTTTGAGCTGATTGTGGATCAACCGATTACCTAAAGGCCTATGGCTTTTCCGTGACCTTTTTATGACTGCTTTAGTGGGAATAGCATGATAGTGGAGAAAGGCTCGTGGGAGACCGTCGAAGACTAAAAATAGATAATACGAGTATGGTTACCCGGGAAGACTCGTAAGTCAATGTCAGCGTTTCATAACAAGAGTGAAAAGTAACAAACAGAAAGTAGTGGTAAGGTAGTGAGGTTAGTGTCACAAGTAAGTTGCCTGTACATCACGCTAACTGATTG